GGCAGACTGGCTGAAATACACTGCTGAGGGAAGCAGTGGCCAGTCAGGAAAAGTCTGCTGCACCATGTGGGTTGCTCCCCAGCTGGCCAGGGACCGAACTTGTGCTGCAATGGCTGCAAATAGCTCCATAGGTTGCGTCTTAACCCCTTGCGCCACCAGGGAGGCCCAATACCTACCACTTTCAAAGCATAGAGTTTACAAAATCCTTTCCACTCATTGAATCATTTAAGGTAATGTTACTATCTAGTTTTAACAGATGAGAGAAGTGGAAGGGACTTTCCCTAAGTTGGCACACCGTGGTGAAAGGTGGGGTCAGCACTCATGAGGCCCGGTTGTTTTAGAAAATTGTACACACTTTCCACTACTTCCACTGTGTTCTGATGCTGGGAAATTCCAGTTTCCTTACTTGTGTTGTTATTTGTGAGGAGTAGCACGTCATAACTCAAGATGAATGGCTTCTGGTGTCTCAGCTTTAAACTCCAGTTAAAGGTTTCCCCGCTGCCTGAAGGTAGAACGTTCCTATTTGGTATTGTTAGGGGGAAAGGATGTTCTGAGCTAATCCCATACAGGCATTGTGGACCACCCACCCCTGAGGCCTGTATGGGATTAGCTCAGAACATCTTTTCCCCCTAACAATATGACTTGGGAAGTTAGTTTTTGGGTCTGGGAATGTCATGACCATTAATTTATATGAAATACGTTTTTTAAGTATTCCCAGATCCTAAAAATAACCTGAAAAATCAAACAAAATAGGAGCATCACACTTTTAGTTATCAAGGGACACCTGTGCCATGTACAGGTTGTATGTGGTTTTCTGGTTTTTCTCATGAGTTAATCACATCCACTTTGCTGAACTGTTAAGAACTTAGAGAAGAAAGAGGTAAAGGTCCTACTCAAGGTCTGGAGCACAGCAGGGTTAACTGTAGTCACTAACATGTCCCTCTTTCAAAAGTGAGAGCATCAAAGTTTACAGATTCTATCTGGATCAATAACAAGAAGTTTCAAGATATAAAGGATGCCAAGTGCTATGGTGCTCTCACCATGTTCAAGGGTTAATACCAAATACCCTTTCCTAGATCATCTGTGGATCTTGGGATAACCTGAATCCAGATTCTTCACAATTAATATAAAATGACATGCCCTTCATCTGCCTGCACATATTAGTATTAACAGGAGCCAACGTGGCATCTTTTATCCTGTTTTTAATCTGTTTCTTATTTGCCTTTCCCAGGCGTATTTTTTACACCACACATGCCAGCACTACTCTGAACTCTCACACGGAAGCCAGAATTAGCAGCTAAAACAGCTGGAAGATCTGACCATATGGATGTTTGAAAACCAGAGACCCTACAGGAGAAAAAAAAGGAAATTGGAATTTCCCCAGGGAAAAAAAAAAAAAAACCCATAACATTTCTTTTTCTCTGCAGCCCAAGTGGCAGATACTGGTTCATGCTTCTGTGAGGCAAATATAAAACACTGCTTCTCTTTTCTGTGACAAGTGGTGAACAGCCTGCTGAGGTCAAGTTGACTGGTTGTCTTTCTCTTCATATTATTCATACTCAGCTTTGCCACCAAGTCCCCATCCACTATCTTCAAGAATTCAGCTGACATTTAAATGCTTGAGAAAAGGACTCTTATAAAGGGATCTGAAAAGCTTCTTGGGGGCCATCCTCTGTATTATATCTGTCCCTCATTCCACCCACCTTGGCCTCCAGCCCCAGCTCAATCTAATCTCCCTTTTCGAACAAAGAGGTGATGATTAGCTCACTGTGTATTTACCATTAAAGGTTTATTATGCCCCAGGCAGCAGCTCGTTAGTATAAACACACATATGCTCTGCCCTTAAAAACTCAACGCTTAAGAAGGGAACAGACAGGTAACTAGATAATCTTAGTGTCATGTGATAAGCACTATGATAAGCAGGGGTGGGGATGGTAGATGGAAAGACAAGGGAAGAAGACAGTGTGGAGGAGAGGTATTTCAGTTTCTGCTAGTGTGGTGGGAACTGGTAGGCTGTCTGGAATTGATACTATATAAGCTGTTGAACAAAGGCAGGAGTCAGGCAGGCAATTAAGTGTGACAGAGTGTATCCCCAAGACAGGCTCAGAGTTAATAATGGCAGTAGCCAGAACCTCTTAGTCTTCAGAGAAAACACCTTTCATTGAGCAATGGATATAATTCACATATTCCAGACTCTCCCTTCAAGGGTGTCCCTAGAAGAAACTGTGTTTTGGAAAGCCTAAGAATTCTAGGAGTTGGATTTGGATTCCCTAATGCCTCCTTGTAAGTTAATAGAAGATATGTGACTATATAATATTCAGAAAAAGCTCTCAATGCAAGGTTTCCCAGTGCCTGAGTTTAGTATGACCTTGAAGCACTCACTTCAGTGGTTCCAGGTGGAATCAGAAATCCACAAACAAACCTCTCCAGGCCACTGGTGCAAGTTTCAAGAGCATCCTGTGCACTTGGCTGAAAGCTTGGCCAAGAGTCACCCTCTGGATCATAGCTGTTGGCATGGACAGTACCAGGCAGCTGCTAAGGACATCCAGTTGTTTTAGTTTTATAGGAAGATCAGCAGGTTAGCATTTCCTGGGTAATCACGATCAGCACCTGAGCTTGTCTGAGTCATTCCTTCCAAAAATGTTTATGAGTGCCTACTATCTACACAGCAACTAGCTCATTTTCCTTTCTGTCACAGGTCTTATTTTTCAGGTGCCCAAGAATTGGGTTTATCTGTCTTCTCTAGAGGTCTATTTCCCAGGTAGGATCATGAAATATAAAATGTATAAATTTCACCCGGAAAATGTGCTGTCCTTATAGGTAAGCAGACAATGAAGGCAATATCAGGAGACCACTCACTGAATAGGGAATGGACAAGGGCTGATGATGGCTAAGCTTTCTAATTCTAACTTTCTGTGAGTCTACATCATCCTCACTCTGTGTTTTGGGACCGATCACATGGGTTTGTGAGCTGGTTGACTGGCATGAGCATTATAATCTAAACTATGGGCAGAACTTTTCTCCATACAAAGTAAATGTCCCCAAAAATGAATGGCAGAATATTCTGGACACTCATTGTCCATACTAGTCATCTTCTCAGAACAGAACTGAAAATCACTCACAGAAAATATAAGTTTAATTCTGAGACTACAGATACAAAACGCCAAATAAACAAGTAAAACATTTAAACTCAAAATCTCAATTTTTCCTCACCGTTCTAATACTTCCTTTCTCAGAGAGGTGCATGGATTTTGAATTATGCCTGGAGCTAATGACCCTTGCAATGAACCATATTGCCACCTCAGTGGTCTGATTGAAAGCAAACTGCACATACTCCAGAATCTTTGGAAGTCCTGAAGCAAGCTCTACTTGTTCCAGATGGATGATCCAAGGCAAAGGGTCCCAGAATTTGTTATAAAAACATCACAACTAGAAAAACTTCTGTTGACAGATTAGCAATGGGCCTCACCAGGACAGAAATTTTCCCCAAATGCTCTGTGGTGCCAGTGACTCATTTACAAAAGTCTTGCTTGTTACAACAGCTTGAGGTGTACTTGTATCAGCTCTGCTCATCCATATATAAGGTCCCAGGGAAATCAAAGTCCCAAAGTCCTGCCTCAACGAATACAAACTAGAGTCACTGCTATTCCTCAGCTACTCCCAGGCTGCTAAAACTGCTCCTGCTTGTGATGAAGCAAGAGCAAGCACAGCACAGACCCTGGGAGAATTTGATACCAGGGTCACAAATAAATCAACATGATTCTGGGGAGCCTGGAGAGAGACTGAGCATTTGGGCAGAGGGTACTGTCATTTGTTCCTGACAAGATTCAGAGATTCCAGCCTGTCATCTCTGAGAACGTTTTTGGTAGAACAAATTGATGGGTAGGATGGAGCTATTTCTGTTTCCATATTCACAGGGTCCCTGCTGGTGCCCCATCACCCCAGCCTGGCTCAGGTCACACAGCAGCTCGCAGTGACCATCTTACATTGATTCTGGACAAATCAGTGTCCAGATCCCAGGATGAGTCTTGCTCACAGGCAAGAATTGCTAGTAAGTTCCTTTGAGGGAACTCCACTTAACAGTTATATTTGCAGGTTTTCTTCATGAGATTGCAAACATACACACAAATTTAATTTTTTCTAGTCATTAATCAGCAGTAGGAGATGACCATTATTATTGCATTTTGGCTAACCAAATAAATCTTCCAAATAAATCTTTCCTCCTTCCTTCTTCCCTGATCCCCCACCCAGTGAGGTTAAGAAAACAACGATAATAACAGTGAAAATCTAGAGAGCCTTGATATGTTTCCTGCAGAGTACTTTAGGATTAAAAGACACGGGTGTTATTTTCCCCCTGCAACTGGAAGTCCTTCAAGAGAACCTTGCACTTGCATGTGGACAAATGCCAGAGGAAAACACCAATGAGTGGGAGCAGATCAGAAACCTAGCTCTAAAAGTCACCTTCTTCTCTTGCCCAGCACTTCCTTCCTAATTAATTATGCTCAGGAGTGAAGCCACTCTCAGTCCCATCCCCAGTCCCAGCCTCAGCTTCGCCAAGGGCTCATCCAGCAAGGGAGGCAATCAAATTCTCTCCACCACCCTTCCTCCTCAGGACCTTCTAGACTCTGACAGCCAGGTGTCCAGAGCGCAGCTGATTTTACATTTAGTGCCCGTTAATCGTAACGGGCTCCCATGATCTATTCAGAGCATTTCTGCATAATTCTTTTCATTTCCCCTTGTACTCTGCAAGCAGGGACTTCTTTTCCAAGAAAGAATTCCTCCTATTCTCTCCCCCCACTCCTTGCAAAAAACGCTTCAGCCCATCCCAATTAACCGCAGACACAATAAGAAATTTCCCTTTGGGCTCCGTCTGGTTCATCTTTTTTGACTGGATTACAAACTCAGTCCCTTCCTTTAGTCATTCCTTCACTGGCTCAGTTGGCCAGACTGTTAAGAGAGAGAAGAGACAGGAGGCCAGAGGGGCACAGGATTCCACCTACCGCTACTTCCTCGGAGTGGATGATCTCCTTTCAGCCCTGGGCTCCTGCAGGATCTCCTCCAATCTCCCCGCTCGGCACAGCCTCTTTTAAATTTCAAGGCGGTGGGTGGGGTTGATGGCTCTGGCTGGGCGGGCTTCTCTGCCGCCGGAGGATGCCCAGTGGACAGAGCCACGGGGAGCTAGCAGGGCCGGGCCTGTTTTTATAAAGAGCGGGAGGAAGTACATGATGGAAGCCTCGCAGCCCGTCCTGGCGCTGGGCCACTTTGATTATTCATGGTCCTGATGTCATCGAATCACAGGAATCTGGGAGTTGGACAGGGCTTTAACAATCATCTCACTTTCCTAAGGATTCCTGTCAAATAGGCCTTGAAGAGGAGTGCGAATGGGAATTTTAAAGGAACTATATCTGAGAGGAGAAAGCATACACTATACAAAAATGAAAAGTGATAAACAAAAAAATTAATTTTGTTAAGAGAATAAAAAACAAAAAATAATAAAATTAATTTTGGTTAAAAAAATTTTAAAAAATTAAGGCCTTAAAGGGGCCCTCAGGATCAGCTGCCTCTGAGGCCATCACTGAAAGAAGGGTTTACAATTCTAAACAAATATATACCCGGAGGCGATGAAAGAGTCTGCTGAAATCTCCAGCAGAGATGAGGGTTGGGCTGGGAGGGCACTTGAAGGGTAGGGAAGATGTGTGCCAGTGTTTACCTGCTCAGGGTGGTGGAAAAAATCTACGCCTGACATATGCTTTTCAGGTGACTTCCCTGCCTTGTCCCAGCTCCACAAAATAGGGGAAGATAATTTGACCTCTTTGTAACAGAGTGGTCAAGGTCCCTGAGTGGGACTGTGGAATAAAGGCAGGGGCAATCTTGCTTGAAATTTCTATCCCTGGCCCATCCATCCACCCACCCTGGTGTTCTAGGCTTCTCTTAAAGGTAAATGCTCCTGAAAACAGACAACCTGTTTGACTTGTTAAGACCTTGCAGATGATTGATCAACAGTTTGATGTAAGAGAAAGACTTAGGCTTGAATCAGCTATACCAGTAATGAGGGATATGACCTCAGCCAAGAGTTTTATTTCTGCTGAGCTTTTGAATGTGCTGGTCACGTGTGAGTTAGAAAGACAATGTACATAAGATCTCTGGCACCTCATGGGCTCAGTAAGTGGCATCTGATATTACTGATTGAAGTCTAGCTGAGACAGGCACTCCAGGAGAGGGAATAGAGGCTGGCAGAGGAAATTACGGGATGACAAGTTCTGTATCGAGAGCTTAGTTATATACACGGATCCTAAATATGCTCATTTTTATCAAAATTAGGAGATTTTTTTTTTGGGCCTCCCGGTGGCGCAGCGGTTGGGCGCTGGGTTGCGAAGCTGCCCGCGGCCTCTGCAGTGCCGGTTCGATCCCCGGCTGCTCCCCGGCCACCGGAGGAGGGTCCCACATGGCGCGCAGACCTCTCCTGCCGCCCGCTGCTCCCCTCAGCAGTGTACTTCGGTCCTTCTGCCTGCTCTGCTCCCCGCTCTGGCTCTGGTGAATTCTCTCACCCTCCCGCGCTTCTGACTGTGCCCAGTGCATGTATAAAACAAAACGAACAAACAAACCAGCAAACAAATAAATAAATCATGCCTCTATTAAAAAAAAAAAAAAATTAGGAGATTTTTGAGGTTGGAAATTAGGCAGTCATGGCTGAAGTCAAACTATTTTTCCATATTTTATCATTGACAGTAGTTCCACCAATAGCTGCTATAGAAAAGTGGCAACAAAGGGAATGGAGTTAGCTGCAGAGTATACGAGACAGGACCACGCAGGACTGCACCAGAGGGCAGCCAAGTGCCCAGGGAGACCTGTCTCCTGTCCTGTAACTGGGACACTATGTGTTTTGATTCAGCAGGGATGGAACAGGATGGTAATGAGGCAGATCTGAACACCTATAGCGGATGATTCTCTCTTGTATGATCACATAGAAACTACAGTGTGGGTGTTGACTTCTAAAGCCTAGGCAGGATGTGACCAGGAAAGTGAGCCTACAATTCTACCTTTGGAAATTCATGCCCTTAGGTTGTTAATCCTCAGTTAAAGTACAAATTTAAGCATTAACCTTCAAAGTAGTCTGGGAGGAGGGGCTACCTGCTGCTGGTCCCCTGGGGTGTGGAAGTGAATGGGACTGGGAAGTGGTGTTAGGCTGGGGTTCTTGAGAAGAAAGGGGTGGATCAAGCATAGGAAATTGAGAGGAGAGGGCTTTCAGGTCACTCACAGGTACTCCTGAGCTTTACTGAAATACTCCCAATGACTCAGGCCAGTTAATACCCTAATCTTGGAATTGGGGTTTTTGTGCTCCTAGTAAATACAAGCTTGTTTTTCCTTTCACAGACCCCAGGGAAGCCTAGAAGGAGGAGGTAGGTGTGGGAGGCGATATGGTGACAATGGGAGCCTTGATTTTAGTCAAGGGAATGTTGCTGGGGGTGGGGTGTGTGAAGAAAAAAAATAGAAAAGAAATCTTAGTGAAATAACATCCTGGGAAAATTGTATCAAAGCCGTTAGCTTTCAAGGAAGAAAAATGACACCCAGGCCTAGGTAACACTGAGACAAAGTGGGCACAGAAAAACCGGATTCCGACCGCTTTCCTACCCAGCACTATGTCTGTGGTGGGCCCCTCCCCAAAGAACATGTGAGTCATGGGGGGATGAGAGGTTAGGGGTGGGGGGGTGGTTTGTAATCAAGGACAGAGGGAGAGGCACTAGATCAAGGATCACCCTGAGACCCCAACCAGTTGAGTGAGAAATTAATTATGTCATATCTGTGGAACCCCAGAAGAAAAGATAGAAAAGAGGCTTATGGGAAGGTGGCTTGCGACAGGATACCAGAACTTTGGTAGTACTATCTCTGAGGGTTTAATTTGGGGATCTCTAGTTTTTGAGAAGAGAGTAAACACCACAGTGGGTTTGAAATGGGTGTTCTGTGGCATATGTCGTCTAGACCTTCATCCAGACACGGAAAGTTACATTGGGTACTGTGGCAGTGAGGGGAATTCCACACCAACACTGAGAAACATCAACTAGGACAGGCTGAGTCCCTAGGAAGCGCCCCACGCATGGTTATGCTTGTTAACATTTACCCGGTGGCATGGGAGTTTTTTGTACTGTTGGTGCAACTCTTTCTTCCTTTCTTTTTTTGTGGGACCCTCGCTGGCGGCCGGAGAAACGAACCAGTGCTGCAGAGGCTGCGGGTAGCCTCGCAGCCCAGCGCTCAACCGCTGCGCCACCAGGGGAGGACCAGTGCAACTCTTTGGTAAGTTTGAAATCAAAATAGAAAGGTAAAAACCAATTATTCTCTTAGAGTAGCAATTCTACTTCTGAATATTGAGCTCAATGAAATAAAAATTTCAGCTCCCCCATACAAGAAAACAGTATGCAAAAAACATTTGATTGTCTAAAATAGCACTGAAAATAGCATTGTTCAAAATTAGGGAACTCGATATATAGTGTAATACTGTGTAGTCATTATGATGATTGATATGCTTTAATTAAGAGGTATATATAATTTGCATCCTTAATACTATAAGGATGCAAATTATATAATATATAATATAATATAGTCTAATACTTAGACTATCAAAACAGATCATAAAATTACCTTTCCTGAAAGAAGTAGAAAATTATTTTGTAAATGAACTGTGATATAAATGATGTAAATACCACACCTATGTCTATAAGAATGGAAGACAAAGTCAAGATTTGGAGTGCTGCATTTTTTTTTTTAAACTATTTTTTTTTTTTAAATAGAGGCTTTTTTTTTTGTTTGTTTGTTTGTTTGTTTATACAAGCACTGGGTACAGTCAGAAGCGCGGGAGGGTGAGAGAATTCACCAGAGCCAGAGCGGAGAGCAGAGCAGGCAGAAGGACCGAAGTACACTGCTGAGGGGAGCAGCGGGCGGCAGGAGAGGTCTGCGCGCCATGCGGGACCCTCCTCCTGTGGCCGGGGAGCAGCCGGGGATCGAACCGGCGCGGCAGAGGCCGCGGGCAGCTTCACAACCCAGCACTCAACTGCTGCGCCACCGGGGAAGCCCATGGAGTGCTGCATTTTTGTTAATTTTTTTGCATCCCCTAAATTGCCTAATGAAGAGTTTCCTGTCTGCACAGGCCCTGGGCGGCCTGAACATGTACAGTAGTTTCTCTCTGACACTGGTGCTGGAACAGCCGGCTAGTCTACAACACTGTGTCAGAAGATAGGGATTTTCCTTAGCCTATTATGGTGTTTCCTATGAATTCATTTCATCTTTTCTTGAATGCATCTCATTTTCACTCAGTTCCTTTGAGGAGGGAATGGAGTTTCTGAGGTAGACTCCTTAAACAGAACTTCCTGTCCTTGGTCCCAAAGCTGCACCTGTTGAGCTTTGAGGTGAAACCCTGATGTAATCTAGGAGGGGTGAATGAGCACGTGTGCACCTTTGCAGGCACCCTGGCGAGCTGCTGGGAAGAGCCTGCCCCTATAAAATCAGGAAGTTTGCCTTTTTCTTTTCCTCTAAAGTTGGTTTCGAGACTATGGACTAGTTAGGTAGTAGCTTCATGCTTTAGCTTCCGTGTATCGCATGAGAGCAATAAACTCATTCATATTTGGGTATCCTGTGGCTCAGATGTTAACATGGGAGACAAAAGGCTTTGAGACAATTAACACGCTATTGGTGATTTAATAAGCCCTTGCAGAAACATTTTTGGCAGCTTCATTTAGACACCTTTCCTGTGTCTATCCTCAAGTGGAAAATCACTTCTTTGCAGGGGAAAACCCCTCACTTGTTTTTTGGAGATGCTGAAAGGGACCCCAAAGAGCACATCTCTCTCATTTTCTCTAACTCTATTCTAAGTAATAGTAGCATTACACATGAAAAAATATCAACACTAATTCTTTGTTTTAAGGGCCTTTTTACTACACTAAAAGATACTAATGGGGACAACTGGGGGTGAGAGAGAACAAGATATAGGAGAAAACAGCACACTCTGCTCCATTTTTCCGTAAAGCCAAAACTTTTCTTTTTAAAAAATATTCTCAAAATGCAAAATTTGGCCACTTCTAATATTATAAAAGAATAATATAGGTACACATATTATACGTAAGATTCTAACTTTTGTGGGGGTTTTGGTAGGGGGAGGAGATTAATTGGTCTGTGAAATC